GGCTGGGCGTGTTGGGGGCTCCCGTTAGGAATGGGAAGAGAGGAAAAGGAGGGTGTGAGGAGAGGTGCGAGGAAGGAAGTCCTTAGATGGCCCTAGGCTCTCGGGGTGAGAGCTGTGGCGCCCTGGGGACCTCATTCTGGCCCACTGCCCCTGGTTGGCACGACCAGACTTGAGGAAGATCAGGCACAGCGGACAGGCCCGCGGCCTCCCACCTCCCCGTCCAGGCCTAATACCAGCGCCTTATGCCTATTGGCTGCACACTGGCCATGGCCTCAGGGTGACACGAGTGGGCCGCCCGCCCTCTGGCTGGCTCATGGGCACTTCCTCTCTGCTTAGCAGCAGGTCACCAGGGCAAGGAGTCTGTACCATCCTTCCAGAACCTCCGTGAAACCCATGCCTCCCATTTTCCGTCTATGTTGACCCTATCAGTGCCCAGGTCTTCCTCCACTGCCAGCGTGTTCTCTGCTCCACCTCTCCTGATCTGTGTGCCTCCCGGTCCTTGCCACTTCTGCCCCCGGCTTCACGGCTTCACGTTGCGATCAAAGTTTGGGCTCTCCCAGTATTTCTCCGTTTACACCTCCATCCGGACTTCACTCTCTTCCGTGTGTTTCATAGATCTCTGTCCTCAGAGTTGGGCCTCTGCATTTCTCTCTATTTCTTGGTCTGTTTCTGCTCCTTGGTCTTTGGGTGTGTCACAGTCCCAAGCCCCCAGCTCTGGCTTGCCCCAGTTGTGGTTAGAGGGCGTGGTGGTGGCTGGCACTCACGGTGGGGAGGGGGCAGTCAGATCAGCTGGGGCTGTGAGATACCCAGGATGTCCCAGTGAGAAGGGCCAGTGACACCGAGCCCCAGGTTTGAGGAGACCCCCGTCTCCTTCCTACTAGCCTGGATGGAGCTGTGGGGGATATAACACAGAGCTGTCCAAGGGTCTCCCTCACCCCATCCTTGGGACCCCTGCCCTTCTGCCAGCCCCTGAAGCACACCCAGTCATTTGCTGATGTGAGACCATTTCTGGGAAGATCGGTTTGCTACTGCACCGGCGTCTCCATCCCGCACGTGGACCTTCCACTCTTTCTACCTCCCCATCTACCTTCTGACAGGAGAGCTGAGTACCCTTCCCTGCCCATGAGGGCGCCTCACTCGGGGACCAGGGCTCTCTTCTTGGTCCTGGGTCCTCAGAACTAGGCGTTTCTCCAAAGTTGGTTTTGTTTTTAAACTCAGTTCTGTTGTTTGGCAGGTGAGGAGACCGTGGCCCGGTGACTTGCCTAAGATCCCAGGGCTAGTCAGTGACAGCGGTGGCACCAGAACCTGGTCTTTAGACTCTCAGCTCATGGGTCTTTCCAGGACCCAAGATGGCCTCCCTCCTGTGTCTTGTGGGAAGACCCCAGGTTGAGGCCGGGGCCTCAGGCCACAGGGGCACGGGGCTTCCCTTTTCCTCCTTCGCCCTGTGCTCTGAAAGGCTCTCTGGCTTCCCTTACATGAACACAGGGACTGGTGGCGTTGCCCACCTTGCTCTGCCGGAAGGCACCGAGACCCCAGACATCTGCCCACTGGCTGCTGGCCCATGGCTCCAAGCCAGGAAGGGGATGAAGGTGAAAGGTCTCTGCTCCCATATCCACTGCCTGGTCTCCCTCATCCAATGGGTGACTGAACCTGGACACACGCACACACATGCGTGCGCGCACGCGCACACACACACACACACACACACACACACATGACGTACTCGATTTCACTTATTTCTTGCATCCTTGGCTTGGGCAGAAAGCATGGTGGCTCTGAGGCCTGGATGCTGGGGTTCTGACCCCCTGCCTGCTGACCTCGCTTGACCCCCGCCGTCCTACCACTCCAGGCACAGCAGCCCCTCTGGCCCCTTTCCCACCCGCTCGCAGGCAGCTTAGAGGCACAGAGGGCAAGTCTGCAGCGGGAGCTGGGAGAGTGGGTTCAGGCCACCTGTTAATCACCAACCTCCATCTCCTATAGCTGTGTGATCTGGGTTGAAGCACTCGGCCTCTCTGGGTCTCAGTTTCTTTGTAAAACGAGGAGGCAGGGCACCTCAGTTACCTCGGAGATCCTTTCCAGAACTCAGGGGAGCCCCTTTCCTATCGCTGCTCTTCAGAGCACTGCCTGGGCAGCCAGTACCCCAGCTACTCCACCATCTGCCCACAGACCTTGGCCTTGACCAGGACAGACCCTGCCAGGGAAGAGCACCCAGCTTTGCTCACTCGGTTCCCAGGACACCCCTGCTTTCCAGAGGGCTTGCCCCGCTCCCAGGTGGCCCCATTCACTTACTTCTCATGGCTGAGCTGTGGGCTTGCTGCCTCGGCTCCCTGTCCTCAGAGGGAGGTGGTCCCGAGATTGGGCGCAGCTGGCAGCAGGGTTGGGGGGTGAGGCACTCTCAGCAGAACCTCAGCCCGCAGCTCTGCACCCAGCTCTCCCCCAGTGCTTCTGGGCAGGGGGGTTTAAGCTCGCACCACACAGGTGGCCGAGTGACAACCCCCCCACTCCACCCCCCCACCCCCCCTGGGGTGCAGCGGGTAGGATGACAGGCGCCCCACGTGGCCAATCTGGGCCTGGGGCAGGGTGTGAGGGGCGGGCCAGCCAATCACAGGGGGCGTTGGAAAATTCCAAAACCACATGCGACAGCCACAGGCGGTAAGAGCTGTTTCCACCTGACAGGGTGGTTCTGGCTGAGGAGCCAGAATGGAGCCAGTTTCCTACTCCCCCTCCCCTGAGGACCCCCCTGAGCCTGACCCTCTTTGCCAGGTGACTCCAGGGACAGGGATGTTTCTAGAGGTAAGTCACAGGATATCCGCCCAGGTCGGTGGCGTGTGTCACCGGAGACCCTGTGGACTTCCAAGAGCCGTGCCCAGTGAGGGGCAGTCTAGGAGGCTGCCCTGCTGCCCACCTTGCCCCTTCCCTCCCTGCGGACACGGTGTATGCCCTGGGCTAGGGAATAAATGATGATAGTAGCAGTAACAATCCTCAGACAAATGCCCACTAGCTGCAGGAGGTGGTTTGTTCCCAGAAATTGCTTCGGGAGTGAAAGTGCTGAAATTAGAATGCAGATCATTGATGATGTGATGATGGTGACAATGATGCTTACCATGTGCCAGAAATGGTTCATAATGTTTTCTGTGGACTAGCTAATCCTCACAGAATACTTTATGAGGTAGGTACCATTATCCCCATGTCAAAGATGAGGGACGTGAGACACAGAGAGGTTAAGTAACTTGCCCAAGGTCATACAGCTAGTAAGTGGCCGAGTCCGGATTCAAACTCAGGCATTTCGGCCCCAGACCCCATTTGAGAATGGGGGAGGGTTTCTCTGGCTCATGTCTGCGCTTGATGGCATCTCAGCCCGGGAGGGCTCCTGGTATGGGCGTCGCTCTGCAGAGCTCTTGGCCTAGGGCTCCTTCTTAGGGGCCAGTCAATTTCAGAGGCCCTCTCAGCCTCAGACCTGCTCGGTGGTGTACCCTGGGAGTTCCCTGTTCAGGGCTCTTCTTGGTCTGGGGGGTCCTTCCTGGGTTCCTCCCTTCTGGGAGCCCATTTTTCAGGCCTCTCGGCCTGGGGAAGGCATGAATCTCTCCTGGCGTCTTTAGTCAAACCTCCTACGAGGTCTCTGATCTTGCCGGGACTCCAGCAGCTGCTCAGCCTGGTACAGGCTTTCTCCTGCCGGCCTCCATGGGCTCTCAGGAGCTGGGCAGAGGACTGTGGGAGGGGCTGCCGGCCTGGGTTCTCTGGAGGCCGCTCATAGGGTGGGGGTGGGGGTTGGGAAGGGCCTCAGGGGGTACGGTCCTGGCCGAGGTTTTTGTGGTGAGGGGTTCAGTCAGGGTAGGAATGGAGTTTAGCCTTTTCCAGTTCCAGCTGCTCCAAAAGTCCCCCTTCACCCCCCACCCACATATGGTCCCTAGCTCCCCTCCCCCGGCTCACGCAGCTCACGCGTCACTCCTTGACCCGCTTTCCTCCTAGGGCCCTGCTCAGCATTTCCGTGGGGCCCTGTGGCTAGGGGCAGGCGAGGCACCGTCAGGATTGTGCTGAGCAAAGCAAGCCCCCACCCGGGAGGGGCGGCATCCTGGATGGCCCCCAGCCCCCGCCTGCCCACCTCTGGGATTTCTCTGCAATTTGGGCGGTGGGAGGGGCAGCAGTGAGCTCTCAGGAGGAGCTGGTGGGCCATTCAAGGGAGGGCCAGGGCCGTAGCCTCTCCTGCCCGAGTTGTCATCGCTGCAGGGACCCCTGCTCATAGAGGCCTTCCCCAAGGGCCCTCAGGCCAGGACGGGCATGCGTTCCTCTGATGGGATGTAAGCTCCGGGCCTGAGGTGGAGTGGGTGTATTTTCTGGGGGGAAATGTGATTCACCCACAAACGCGGAGGGTAGATCTGATGTGCTGAGAGGCCCTTTGAGAAGATGCTTACTTCCCAGTATCCACTGGGAAGCCCTTCCTGAGCTCCAGCTCCTCCCACGTGGCAGCCTCAGCCTTCCAGGGCCCCGGACCCAGAGGGCCCCTGTCCATTGTGCCTCCTCCAGAGACAAAGCTTTCCTGCTCTCCAGCTCTGCACAGCCTGGTGCCAGGCTGCTTCACACCTCAGGACGTGTTAACCACACAGATGAATACCAAACCTGGCTCTGCCCCCACAAAGCCTGCTGCAGGTCACCGGCCTCCCTCCCACCTCCCGTGCCTCTGTCCAGCACCTCTCTGCTCCTGTCCCCACCGCTTCCTTTCCATTGTGCTCTCCTTGTTTCCTTGCCACGTTCCCTCCGGCTCTTCAGGCGTCTTTCTTCCTTCTCTCCTCCCATGGCCCTGATCTTGAGGTTTCTTCACCCCTCCCTCTCCTTTCCCCATCTCCCCATCCTCTCTTCAGGCCCTGCCACCTCTGCCTGGTGTCTCCTTCACTGTGCAACCTACGTGCCTTTCTTTTCCACGAACCTCCCACGGCCCTTGCTGGATTCTGGGCCACCTCTCCACACCCCAGCCACAGTTCTTGCCCCAACCCTCTACTCACAGGTGTGGGTCTTCTTTGCAGCCAGCAGCTCTGTAAGGAGAAGGCAGGGGGTCAGGGCCAACGGCTGAGGACCATGGTGGGGGGGGGTGAGACACACTCCCCTCCACGCACAGGCCCCCTTCCCCACCCCATTCCTTCCCAGTGGAACCTGGCACCTGAGGAGAAGGTGGGACCACCCTCCCCAGCACCCTTCTCTTCTTCATTCTCTGCCCTTCAGACACACTGGCCCTCTTCCAGGTCCTCAAAAGTGCCAGGCTCCTCGTGACTTCTGGGACTGCCCAAGACATCCTTCCTCCCGGAATGTCCTTCCCTCCCCCACCGCCCCCCAAGCCAACTTTTCCTCATCCCTCAAGTTTTGGATTCCCACTCTTTCTTTCCTTGGAACGGTGCTTTCCTGCTGGATGGTGGGCCCCATGGAGGCAGAGCCCGTGTCTGTCTTGTTCGTTCCCCTTGTATTCCCAGAACCTTCCACAGGCCTGGCCCGTTAGGGGTGCACAATAAATACTCAGCAGTCAGAGTTAAATCTCTGTGGGAGTGAAACCTCTTCATTGCTTATTTGTGCCTGAAAGCACCTGGGAGTCCCAGAGGTGTGGGGGTTGAGAGCAGGGTGGCGAGGATGCTTGGAGGAAGAGGGCGAAGCTGCAAGCACAGACCCTGCCTCTGCTCCCACAGTCCCTGGCTCCCTGGCCCACCAGCCTGCACAGGAAGGCTGCGTGGCATCCCTCCACCCAGGTGGAGAGGGGGCACGAGGGAGCACAGGTGGGTTGCCGTGGGGTGAGCAGGGAGGCACAGACCTCTTGAGGGGCAGCTGCTGAGGGCAAAGCCTTAGCTAGAGCAGTGTCGGGGTGTCGTTCAATTGTGTGGTTAGCATTTATTCAACTCCTACGAAGGGGGCCCCTGAAGAGGCTCCCCCCGCCAGACCTTGGTCCATTGCCTACATCCACTTGGCAGTCCATCCTAGGACACAGGGCCAGTCTTTGTCCCAGGAAACCCTGCAGTCCTGCCTCAGGCCACTGTACTTTAGTTTCCCTATCCTGTGAACCGGCTCTCCTGTCATTTTTCCCTTCTGCTGTCCAGTCCTGGCCTCCGCCCACCACCCACCACCCACACTGTCCCTCTGCACAGCGTGCTCCCAACCGGCAGGCTGAGTGGGGGCCAGTTGACTTGAGGGCCCTGCTCTGCTGGGGTGGGGTTGGGGGTAGGACTGCCCAGAGAGGGCGTGGCTCCGTCGGCACCTCCCGCCTCCCCTGCTGATCCTGGCTGGCCCCACCCAGCTTCCTCCCTGACGTGGCACCAGCTCTCTGGCCTCCAGCCTTGCACCTCCGAGCAGTCCTGGGGTGGGGGTGCCCCTCGCATGCCTGGCAGTGGAGTTCTTCCTGCATGTGGCCTGGAGCTGGGCAGCTCCGGCATGCAGGCTTCCCTGCTGTGCTCAGGCATGTGGCCCTGGGACCTGCCCTGAGAGGGTCTCTGGGTTAGGGCTACCTGACCCTCCACCCCCTGCTGCCCCGTGCCGGGTGCCCCACTTTCTCTGCAGAAATGAAACTCCATGCCTCTGTGCCAGTGGGAGGAAGGTGCCAGGCTACTGGGCATGGGCAGCTTGCTTCCTTCCCCACCCTTTGCCTCTCATCCTCAAGGCAGGACAGGTGACTGACTAGAAGGCAGAGTTGCCAGCCTTCCAGCCACCGCTGCCCAGGGGCCCAGCCAGCTGCACTGCCTCAAGAGACTCAGGACAGCAGCGTGTCCCCCTCCGCCCGGGCGGTGCTGACACTCGCTCACATTCTGACCCTTCCCTGGCTCTTGCGTCCCTGCCAGAGCCCCTCCCACCGCCCCCCACTCCACCTGTCTCCTCCTGCCTCCCTTCTTTCCCCCTCCACGTGGTTCCTCTTTCTCCCCCTTTCCTGGTTCTCGTCTTCTGCCATGTCCCCAGCCCCTCCTCCAGTTTCTCCTTTAGTTTCCATCACGACGTGTCCTGTCTCAGCAGCTGGCTTTCCCCTGCCCATCCATCTCTCTTATACTCCTCCCCCTCCTCACTTCCTGGCCAGTCCCAGCTCTCCCTCTCCTCTGGACTTCCTGGCTGTCCCTTCCACCTGCCTGCAGGGGCATAGGGCCTCTTACCCTGCGAGGCTCGGTGGTGTCTCTGTGGGGCCCTGTCCATGGGGCAACTCCCTGGGTGCCGTCCTTGCTGCCCTGGCCGCCCAGGAGGGCAGGGAGCAGGGCCCGGAGGGGGGGGAGGGCGGAGGGAGGCAGCACCTGGCCCGTCAGCAGGCAGGGGAAAGGAGTGGCTGGCAGAGCATCCTGGCACCGGGAGGGCACAAGGGGGGAGCCGGAAGGAACAGAGTTTGAGGCCTTGAGGAAAAACAGGACAGGCGAAGGGACGGGCACTAGCATTTATTGATCACTTACAGTGTTCTGGGTCCTTTGCCAGGCACCTTATGTAAACCCATCCTCACGCCGCCTGCCGCGAGCCAAGCGTAATTACTCCAGATTTTCCCCTAAGCTAAGTGATGCTCAGCGAGAGCAACACTTACCCACAGACCTGCACAGGGACAGCATGTGGCCCAGCTGCGACTCGAACCCAGGTCTCTGAGACTTCAGAGTCATGTGCTTTGCCCCTGACAAGTGACAGAAGCAGGGAGCTGGGGAGAGAGGGGTGAGGAAGGGATGGTGTATTTGGGCGATTGTGCCTCTTCTCCAGATGAGGCCAGACGTCCCAGTGGCCCCTCGGTTTCTTGAGGCCTCTGCCCGCTGAGCCCCTGCTCCTCGCTGCCCTTCCCTAGAACCCCCTGACTCCATGATGCCTCCACATTTGACTGCTGTGTTGGGGGCTGGGGGCAGGTCTGCAGGTGTGTGCCAAGGCAGCGGAGCAAGGCGAGAGGAGGGGAGGAAAGGTGCTGCACTTCGCTAGCTGGGGGAAAGAGTGCCTCCAGGCTGAGCGGGCTTGCACTGGGGCCTGCCCTGAGGACGGGCTCTGCGGAGGGAAAGGACTGCGGGATGAGGCTTCCGCGGGTCCTGGGCGCCACTTCTCTCCTGCACAGCCACGGCCCAGAGTTTGATTAGCTGGGCCTGGCTCTCCCGGTTACCCAACAGGCCAGCTGGCCAGGGGCCAAGCTGCAGCGGAGGCTCCCTGGCACCTCCTCCTGCTCTCCCTCCCAGCTGGTAAACAGCAGAGCAGAAGCCAGCCACGCCACAGCCTCGTGACTTGCCCACTACCCCCCACCTGGCGCACGTGGCACCTGGCGTGCAGAGGGCAGGCAGCTGTCCCTTCTCTCCCCTGCCCTCCCATCTCGCCATCCTCCAATCCTGCCTCGCGCTGGAGCTACCCTGAGCACCTCCGTTCCTGGGTAGCTCCCATTCTCCAATGGCTGCAGCTTGAGGGACAAAGGTTAGACGTGGAGAAGGACTTTCTAACTCCCCAGATGGAGTGAGGAAGCGTGGAACGGAAACCTCTGGGGACCTTGTTGTATACAGAGTGTGAGAGTGTGTGTGTCTGGTTATCCTCATGTCCTTTCGGTAAATGCGGGGCCCACGCATCTATGTGCACTTCTCTGCACAGAACAGGATGTTGGGCTGTTTTGGGGTTCTGTCCCTGGGCAGGCTTGGAGTGAGAAGCAAAGCTCTCGAAAACACCACCCCACCTGGCGCCCTCTAGCAGACAAGTAGAGCCAGCAGGAGGCAGAAGGACATGCAGGGGAGCCCGGGACCGGGACCGGGGTGTGTCCTGCTCCCCGCTCCTTCTGGCCACAGGCTTTGCTCCCAGTCAGCAGCACCCTCTCTGTGCCTCTCCCTGTCTGTGGCTCCTCTGTTTCCTGCCCTCTCTGTCTCGTCTCCTCTTTAAGCCCCTCTTCTTCTGTGACTCTGGGGCTCCCGGGCCCTTCCTGACCTCCCAGTCATTGGCAGAGCGTGAGGCCATTCGGAGTGCTTGGGGATGGGCCCTTGGCCTCGGCACCGTGCCAGGCAGCCCTGTCCGCCCCAGATACCATAGGTATGGCTGCCTCTCCCAGCCACGCCACTTTGTGCCACTGCGTGGGATGGGGAGGAAGTGAGGAGGCAGGGGGTTGGAAGACAGGGTCCTGGCCTCTGGGCCTACGTGAGTCACTTCGTTTCTTAGACAGTCTCGTGTCTCTACCCTCCCCGGTCCTAAGCGCGGCTGGCTGGGGTTCTTTCTGTCCAGGGCAAGCAGATACCTAGGTCATCCTTTTCAGAAGTCTCCCTTCATGCCTAACCTTCCTCCCTCCTGCTCCAATCACAGCCCCTCTTCTGGGTGAATCAGTCCTTTCAAAGCAGGACAGTGGGTATTTCCTCCTCAGATACATTCGTACATTCTTATGCAAAGAGAAGGCTGATAGGGATCAAGAGAATCATTTCCCCACCACGTGCCTAGGTTCCCTTATCGCAGGGCATCTCAAAGAAGGGGGCAAGCAGCCTGGAGGGGGTGGAGGGTGGTGGTGGCGGCTTGGAACTGGGGAACAGTCACCAACTTCTCTCTCCCTTCCTCCCCACCCCCTAAACCACAGAAACCACTTAAAGCTCAATGCAAGCATGCCCTTCCAGGGAGGGCCTGGGACTGTGAAGGTGGAAAGTCTGTGGGTTCTGGGCAGCCTGCGTGCCACACACCACCCCAGCCCCATCCTTTGAGGACCACCCCCTCCAGGAAGCCTGCTCAGCAACTAGGGACCATCTTTCTTTGGGTCCTCTCTCGGAGGTCCACGCCTGGGGACACCTCACCCCTCTGGAGTGACTGAGGGAGAGGGCTGTACCCCACTCCTCCCTCATCCATTAAAAAAAGGACAACTCCGTCTCTATAAACACCTGTAGATCTCACAGCCTCCACCTCTGACCTTCCCGTCACAAGGGTCACTGTGGGTGGAGGGAACAGCTGGAGTTTGACCCGAGCTCCTGGCCCTGAACTTTCCATGGTGACCCTGCTTGTATCACTCAGCTGTCAGTTAACATTTGCGGTCACTTAGGCTTGGACACGGCAAGGAGGGTTGAAAAGCGGGAGTTCAGATTGCTGCAGCCCAAAGACTTGGATAAGAATGTGGTCTGCCACTTATTAGTCCTCAGTTACCATGTCAGTAAAAAGGGGACAATGACAACTGTTCTGATGTGTGTCAGCGACCCTGCTGAGAGGCCAGAACAGCCTGCACACTGGAGGGGTTCTCAGGACCTTATCTGCCCCAGCGCACGTTTCTGTGGCTTTAGTTGCCAGGAAGTTCCTCCAGGGAGATTGTGGCCCCCCTCAGAGGGGGCAGTTCACAGCTGTGAACACGGAGTGACCTGCTCCTAAATGGAGTGGACTCGAATCCCACCTCACAGGCTCCTCGGAGTGGCGGGTGTGCTGGGGGGGTCCGGATGAAGCCTCAGTCCTCAGCCTTCCCTGCAGCCAGGCTGTGCCCAGGCAAGTGTACCTCATCGCTCTGACCTAGCTCCTCAGTAAAATGGGGATACGCCTACCTCACTGAGTGGGTGCGATGATGAACTGGGGTCACACAGGTGAAGTACAGGACCTGGTACAAAGTACGTGGTTAAGAAAAGATGTTTGAGTTCCTCCCGTCCTCTTTCCATTCCGATGATCTTTTCTCTTTACCCGACTCCCCTTTCCTATGCCCCTTTCCCACTTTATTTTTCTCTATAACGTGTCACCAATAGCATTTTTTTACATTTTCCTCATTCATTTTGTATCTTGTCTGACCCCCACGTCTAATTTGATCCCTGCTATGTCCTATGCCTGGCACCTCATAGGCCCTCCCTAAGTGTTTGGGGGAGGAATGCACGGACAAAGGTTAAAGGACCACGACATTTCTTCCCAGCCACTTGCAAATGGGCATGAAATCCATTTGCTCACCAAGGGCTGTTACACGGGAGGATTTGGGGCTGTCGTAGAGGACAGTGCTAGGGACAGAGCTGGATAGAGGGGTGGCCTTCACTGACTGAACCGGTTGGAGGGCTGTCATCCTTGGGAAGGAGGAGACCCCTTTCAGAGTGACCTGGAGGGGAGGCGGCAGCTGCTACTTAGGGATATTGTCGTGAGGTGACCAAGCGCCCAGGCTCTGCAGCCAGACTCTGTAGGTTTGAATCCTAGTTCTACTCCTCAGAGGTGAGTCAAGTCCAAGGTCACACTGATAACAATAGTACTTAGACATCGTTTCTGGGAGGAGTAAATGGCTTGACAGGTTGTTGGAACATGAGTTCACTGCCCCGTGGTAATCAGGTAGGTGTCCGCACTTCTTATTGTTTGGTCAATGCTACCACCTGGTGGACACCTGGAGTAGGAGCTGCCCCCGGCCCAGGTGGCCTGGGGCGGGGGCGGGGGCACCTAATCAGGGGAGAGAGGAGGAGCCCCTCGAGCGATCTGAGCGGAGAGGGGTGTGTGCTGTCCTCGCATTGTCACGTGCTGAGGTTTCCCGCAGGCTCAGCCCTGGTTCCGGGCACCGTGGAAAAAGAGAAAGGGCCTGAGGGGGAGGGCAAAGGAAGCAGAGCCGGCTCAGTCCCTCCCTCCTTCTCTCCTGCCCTCCTCCCAGCCTGGCCTGAGCCAAGAGGAACCAGCTCCAGGGAAGGTGGAGAGGCGACGGAGAAGAAGGTCACTGCTGACGTCAGGGACATTCACGTAGGAGGTAAACACAACCTGACCTACATTTATCCATCGTCCACACCCTCCCCCGACTCAGTGGGGTGCCCTTTTCTGGCCGTGCCCCAGCTCTCACGCTCTGGGAGGACCCGACCCCCACCTCCCCTGAGACGTCCATCCCTGGGACAATATATCTCGGTCGTTCAGTACGCAAGTGCTGTGCTGGCTGTGGACTCCGGCTTTGGCCCCCCCACTGCCACCCCCGCTCCAGGGTGGCACAGGTGCGGAAGGGACAGGCGAGAGAGAGGACGTGTCAAGGCCCCGCGTGCGAGTCTGAATCCCCTGACTCACTCGCAGGACGCAGGCATTTCATCTCCAGGACAGATGTGGGTTCGAGTAGGGAGGCGGATCAGCGGCGGTGGGGCGTTGATTTCCCCTGTGCAGCCCCAAGGAGCCCCCAGGGGAAGGCGGCTTATGTTCCGTTTCAGTCACAGAACGTTTTCGGCAGTGACTCAGTGATTGGGGGGCCCCCTGAAAGGGTGGAGGCCTTATTGGGCAGGGACCCCAGGACCTACCCAGCTTGGACCTCCTGAGCCAGTTTCAGCGTCTCTTCGGGATGGAGCCCAGGAACCCTGTGTGTTTCACAGGCTCCCAGGGGTTTCCTGATGCCTGGGTTATCCTGGCGCTCCTTCAAGTTGGAGAACCGCTGCTTCAGGTCTACTCCAGTCCAGACAACCTGAATGAACGTCTTCCTTCCCTGCATGGCCAGGGCACAGGGAAGAGGGTGGGCTGCAGATCTGAGAGCGCAGGGTGCCCCAAAGGGGCGAGATCCCGCGAGAGGCCAACGGACCTTTTATTAGCAAAAATAAATACACGTGGGGCAGATGGAAAGAACGGGGACTGCAAACCCCATGGAGCGTTCCTGAGGAACAGGCTCAGTCTACAGGCTGAGATGGGCGGGCGCCAGGGGGGCCCCTGGACCTAGCCCCCCACCCAAGGGGGGCAGTAGGGCGATAAGGGGCGTCTCGCACTCCCCCAGCAGCACGTCCCGGCGCAGCCCTGCGCCCCTGTCCAGCACCTTGGCCTTCAGACAGCGGGCGCCCAGCTCCGACGGGCCGAGCCCGTCGAAGAAGAAGTCCTCGTTGAAGATGGGGTTGGCGCTGCACCTCACCA